ATCCGTTTATGGGATGTTAAGACAGGATAATAAAAAGCCAAATTAGATGGCCATTCATCAACAGTTTATTCAATTTGTTACTCTCCAGATGGTACTACATTAGCATCTGGTAGTGGATCTTTATATGGTGGTGGAGATTGTTTTATCCGTTTATGGGATGTTAAGACAGGATAATAAAAAGCCAAATTAGATGGCCATTCATCAACAGTTTATTCAATTTGTTACTCTCCAGATGGTACTACATTAGCATCTGGTAGTGGATCTTTATATGGTGGTGGAGATTGTTTTATCCGTTTATGGGATGTTAAGACAGGATAATAAAAAGCCAAATTAGATGGTCATTCATCTTACGTAAGAACAATTTTTTACTCTCCTGATGGTACTACATTAGCATCTGGTAGTGAAGATAACTCTATTCGCTTATGGGATGTTAAGACAGGATAATAAAAATCCAAATTAGATGGTCATTCAAGTTGTGTTAATTCAATTTGTTACTCTCCTGATGGTACTACATTAGCATCTGGTAGTTCAGATAGCTCTATCCGTTTATGGGATGTTAAGACAGGAGAAGATATCGTCTCGTCAGAAAATCAATATAAAAACATTTTAGCATAATTTTAAACTTCAATTTTTTATAAAAACATGATTGAGAATAATGGTATTAATTATCTATTATTGTTTAGTTTCATCGATTATCACTATTCTTCTAATATCACAATAGCTTATATTTTAATCTTAAGGAGCTCTAATTTTGAGAGGAGAATTTAGTAATCAATTGGGCTTCAACTTGAGGGCATTATTAAAACAAAGAGGAAGTATCATTTTAGAGAACGAAATGGAATTATAAAAACGATGAAAATTGATTAATATTAATCATATAAAATATTATCATTTTTAAGAATCAACTCTTGAGAAATAAAACAAATACATTGAAGAAATGAAGAAATAGACACTTTATGATGCAAGCTAAAATGCCAACTAAATTGAATCAAAAAATTTAAGAAAGACCTATTGATATTGGATGCAGTAAATATAGGTCAGCTTTTAAAATCAATTTTGAAATTATTAGTTTTACTTATGGTATTTTATTGTCCCTAGCGAAAACCGAAATTAAATTTATAGCTCATTTCCGAAATTCTCAATTCACAGAATAAGGGTAAAACCGAAATAGTTTTTCATTCACCAAAATCTGTAAAGTACCTGCATAGTTTTTTCATTCACCAATATCGGTATGGTACCTGCATAGTTTTTTCATTCACCAATATCGGCGCGGTACCTGCCAGGCCCCTACGGCCTGAATACGAATCTCTATCCGTTTATGGGATGTTAAAACAGGATAATAAAAAGCCAGATTAGATGGTCATTCTAGAACAGTTAATTCAATTTGCCACTCTTCTGATAGTACTACATTAGTATCTGGTAGCGCAGATTAGTCTATCCGTTTATGGGATGTTAAGATAGGATAACAAAAAGTCAAATTAGATGGCCATTCAGATTATGTAAGAACAATTTGTTACTCTCCTGATTGTACTAAATTAGCATCTGGTAGTATTGATAAGTTTATTCGTCTCTGGAATGTAAAATCACCAAAGGAGATACTTCAATCAGATAGTAGTTATTAAGATTTGCTTGCCTAGTTTAACATACCTCTTCAGAATAGCTCCTTATTGCAAAATGGTATTTATTATAATTATTATTTAGTTAATCCTTATTGTACAATACTTAGAATTTGCTAGAATCCTTTGTTCCAAGCATCAGGAACACTTATTCTATAAGCACAATTCATTAATGATTATGGTGAAGATTTAAACCTTTGTTTAAATAAAAGGGTAGTTGCTTTTGAGAAGACTTTAAGCAAAAGTGAATTTGAATATTCATTAAAAACATTACAATTATAATTATATCATTTTATTAAAACTTTTTTGAATAATATATCTTTTTTTGTTTCAATTCTTAATCTTCATATACTTAAGATTGATAATTAAATGTTTTTTAAAAATATTCCATTTCAAGCAAGTGATTAAACCATTTTAGTTAAATGCAATTTAATTATTTGGTAAATATTGAGATATCAGAAACAAAGATTATAAATTAATATTTATAACTATACAATACACTATTAAATTTATAATCTAAACACAATACATTAACTTAATTTATTGCTGTTTATAAACAGATTAAGTCTTAAAATGATAATTTAGATTAGATATAAAAATAGACTGAAAATATATATATTAATATATACCTTAAAAAAAAAAAGGACAAGATTTAAGGAGATAATTATTATAACTTCCCCATAACAACCTTGTAATAATCTTAAATGTTGATTAACTCAAGCTCTATGTGAATTCTTACATAAATTCAAAGGAGGTACCTTCAACTTTAATTAGTTATTATTTTCAAATAAGCTCATCAACTATCAACTAGTACAATTTTAAAATTAAATTAATTCTTTATGAAATCAAGAAATTACCCTAAATTGTTATTGTAAAAAATAACAAAATTAATCTTCTCTACAACTATGAGCTTAACCCTAGTAGACAATTAATTTTTAGAATTAATTAAATTTATTACTATTAAGTAAATTTATTATATTATAAATAATTTATTTATGATTTGGTATTTAGTTTAGTATCTATAATCTAGTTAATCTTAATAAATGTATTACCTGATTTCTATTTTTGCCCATTATTTATCAACAATCAATAAAGGATCAATTAATATGGTTGTTTAGATTTGCTATCCTTCTTTTGGAATTTAATATAAGATTCTTATAACTCTATATAATTTAGTGTATAATTTTTGAATTTCACAGAGAAATAATGCTATTCTATGTTATTATAAATTAAACATAAAAAGATTATTTTCAATTTAATCTAGCATCTTTTTTTTCATATTAGAGGATACATATATAAACTATTTTATCAAATTTCTAATCTCTTTTCACTAAAAAATTCCATCCAAGAATTGTCTAATATCCTTGTTCTTAAAAGAACAAGCTTAATGAATAAGTGCACAGGTGAGTGAAATATTCAAATCTTTTCCTTAGAGTGTTAAGACATACTTTTCATCAGCTTCATTTTTAGTGATGTCACTCCTGGTAGGCATAAAATATTTGGATGATCTTTTCCCCAAGGATATTCTTGATTTCAATGCCAATAAGATTGATAATGATTGGAAAGTGAGCATATGCCAAGACCATCTTGAATTAATAACCTGTGGTAATACCTCTAGTCATGTTTCTTGGATATCCAAAGCAGAGAGTTTTGGTCAACACCCCTCTCGGTCCCTTAACTTTGACCACCTTGGATTTCTAATTGATCTTCTTTCAGGAATTGAAAATGCTCCTCAGTCAGGATGTACTTCATATCATTAAATTCTTTTTTGAGAGGATATTTAAATGTGAAATAATCTACATAACTAAGGTTATAATATTGGGTTAAACTCAAAGTTATAAAGAAGAACAATTTTGTGTTTTTTAACATTATCCATTATGTATATGAAAATCCATTCTTGGGTAATTTCTTAATTTCATAATGAATTAATCAAATTGAACAAGTTGACGAATATTATTATCGTTGTGTAGATGTTAAGTAATTTTGTAAACAAAAATCAGTTTGAGGTAGGATTACATAGTTCTTATCTGAGTGATTAATAAATGCTCATTATATATATGTGCAAAATTATTGTTGAAAGTAGCTCCTTTGGATGCAATTCACAAGAGCTTATTTAAAATTATTAGATGATTGTTAGGGATGGATAAAATTATGATCTCTAAATCCTTTTAAGGGTTAGAATACTTATAGATGATTAATA